TGTGTGTGTGTGTGTGTATTATAAAGTCACATTCAGAAGTATGATGTGAACCCACAAAGGAAGGCATCAATAAATAGAGATGTCAGTCAGTGTGTGTGTGTGTGTGTCCCTGGGTCTGCCGTGTTAAACAGCTCCAGCCGTCTGTCAGTCACTCTTTGAGTTCTGTGCTGTTCACCACCTGGAGCTCCGTCAGGTTACTGCTGCTGCCGCTCGACTGCTGGCCAATCACCATCTGGAAGGCAACAGAGCGATGTCAGGAGACACTACATCAGACAGCCATCGCACGTCATCACATCACACAGCGCGCAGCGCAGATGGAGATCCTGCTAAAGTGCATGCCATTTATCACAGAGTGATGCTGCAACAGATGCTGATGTTTTCTCTGTTATGTGTGTAGGCTGCGGTCTTATCTATTAGGAGACGTTAGATCCAATTAAAGGACTATTTCACCTATTCCAGTTCAGTGAGGGGATTTTCCCATCTGCATATAGTATAAAATACAGATTAATTTGATATAAAATGACATCAATAAACTCCTAAATATTCAAGTTCTGGTTTCCATGCACTGACAAGGTGGTTTTGAGTTTATAGCATGTGTAGAAAACAAGTAAGACACTATGCCAGCTTTCATTCAAAAAACAAGGGCCACAGGCTCAATAGAGCCTCCTGAGTGCCAGTGCTCTGTTAGGATGCATTAGTGCGGTCACATGGCATGCTGGTTGCGTAGGGAATTTGAGAGTTTCACTTGTAAAATGCAGATCTTGCCGTACTGGGTGTAGCTGCACTGCTGAGACAGGGATCTGCACCGTGCCTGGAGGTGCTGTGAGGAACACCTGAGGGACACCACCTATGTGAAGAAAAAAAAAAAAAAAAGGAAAAGACACATTGATTAGAATTTATTGATTACACTTTTTTAATTACAATGCAATCCACATGAGCCACTCAGGAAGCTGTGTGTGCTCGGAGCCTCACCTGTGTCTTGGGCTTGTGCGTGGGACACCTGCATTGCCGAGGTCCCCTGGGAGAAGGCGTTGAGCACAGCCAACCCGCCGTCTGCCAGCGTGGGCGTGGAGGCGTACATCACTGTGTGCGGGCTGGGGTACATCATGTGACCTGCCACAGACGTTGGCACTGATGAAGTGACAATGGTTGCTGGGAGACTTACTGTGGCTGCAAGAAGAGCCAGAAAGGGAGGGAAGCGTCATTCAATGGGTTAAGTGGTGTTTACGCACACTGGCCAGCAGATGGCACTTCATATCTATCCAAATTCAACTGCTAACTCCTACTCATGCAATGTAGAGTGGCAATATTACTCCGTCCTCTGGGAATCAACTCATCCAAACAAGAGGAGAGCAAAAACAAACAGTGCACACAGTAAGAACACAACATATTATGACCTAAAAGGATTTTCTTACTAAAAATTAACAATCAAAAACTCACAAAGGGATCCCATTTCCACTCGCCATCATGATGGGAATAATTATGTACACTGTAGTTTT